GTTAGTATTCCGAAGGTTAATCTTATTAAAATTTGTATTTTAAAAAAAAAAGGTGTTCATCAGAATAATTGTTAGTTTTCATTATTACTAAGCTCGAAGTAATAATTGTTACGGTAGGAGTTAGACGATCAAAGCTATCAGAGATTGGTTTGGTTTGTTTTGAATTTCGCGCAAAGCTACACAAGGGCTATCTGCGCTAACCGTCCCTAATTTGGCAGTGTAAGACTAGAGAGAAGGAAGCTAGTCATCACCATCCACCGCCAACTCTTGGGCTACTCTTTTACCAACGAATCATGGGATTGACCGTCACTTTATAACGCCTCCACGGCTGAAATGGCGAGCATGTTTGGTGTGACGGGGATTCGAACCCGCGACCCTCAGATTGCGAGTCGAGCGCCCTAACCACCTGGCCATGCTAGGCCACTATCAATGAATAGACTGGATTAACCTTTCAACAAAATATTGATTTCAAGACTTTCCTGCTTATGACTCTATACACACAACATCCGAATTTTAACCACACCTAAACACATAGAATTAACAGTTCCCTGTAAGATAGAGTTAGTGTATATTGAATACAGTAAGACAACGACTATTATGATAAACCACTTTAGAAAAACTCATCTTGACCAGGTGATTGTTCACCTTGTAATACAATTTTTCAAAACCAAGAATACATTGTTTTTCTTTGGAAATTCAGTATATTTCCAGATTGAAGAAGTCCATTTTACTTAAAATAAATGGCCAGGTGGTTAGGGCTCTCAACTCTGCAATCTGCGGGTTCGAATCCCCGTCCCACCAAACATGCTCGCCCTTTCAGCTGGGGGGGGGGGGCGTTATAATGTGACGATCAACCCCACTATTCATTGGTAAAAAAGTAGTCCAAGAGTTGGCGGTGGGTGGTGATGACTAACTGCCTTCCCTCTTGTCTTTCATTGCTAAATTAGGGACGGCTAGCACAGATAGCCCTCGTGTAGCTTTGCGCGAAATTCAAAACAACCAAACTTGAAATCAGTAACTAGCAAATGTTCAAAAATATTTAAAATAAAACGACTAATTCTCTCATTCAGAACAAAACTGAGCATTAACGCGTTTAGATTGAGTATAAGTCGAAACTACGTATGTTTGTTTGTTAGTTTTCGAATTTCGCACGTAGCTATTCGAGAGCCATCAGCATTAGCCGTCCATAATTTAGAAGTGATAGGCTAAAGGGAAAGCAGCTAGTAAACTCAACGCCACCCACCGCCAATTCCTGGGCTATTCTAATTGAATAATGGATTGACTTTCACATTACATTGTTCACGCGGTTGAAAGGACAAGCATGTTGAGTGACAGGATTCGAACTATTGATCCGTAGAGTAGCTTCGTTCTGATTAAAACAATACGTACTTTCATTATGGAAAGATTTAAATCTTTGGATACAGAAGTTAAAGTTACTGGCTATATCTTGAATGGTATTCTACCGACTACATCTTAAATGGTATTCTACTGGCTACATCTTGAATGGTATTCTACTGGCTACATCTTGAATGGTATTCTACCGACTACATCTTAAATGGTATTCTACTGGCTACATCTTGAATGGTATTCTACTGGCTACATCTTAATGGTATTCTACTGGCTAGATCTTGAATGGTATTCTACTGGCTAGATCTTGAATGGTATTCTGCTGACTACATCTTAAATGGTATTCTACTGGCTAGATCTTGAATGGTATTCTGCTGACTACAT